ATAAACAACTAAGTAATTGTATTGTCTGTAAGGTTTATTAAATACTCTATTAATGCTGTAAATTTGAAGAAGATATCACTTTAAAAAAAATAGTGGACCTCCGTCGCGTCACGAGCAAGCCACCTGAGAACGGCTCATATAAGATAGCCTCTAATTTGTGATGCAGTATTGCATATCAGCTTTGGTAGAACTCAATGATGGTGCCTAATACACCTTCACAGAATGATAGGGTGTATTATCCATCACTATTAAACTTTTAGCCTTTTGTTCTTTGGCAAGTCAGTTTCATTTTGCAGTTTTTTTTCCCACATTATTATATAAGAAACTATATCAAAAGCACTCGCTTAGTCCATATAACAGACGTAAATTCGCATCTTCCTAGCTGTGTAGTACTCCACGGTTTGCTTGAGGCACAGGATTGCAGTTTTTGTTGATAAGTGCGACCTAAAGCCAAACTGAGCATCATATTAATAGAGATATTTACTTAAATACTTGTCAAGTAAATCACACAGCACTTTAGCAATGAACTGCTAAAGTGCTAGATACTTGACTAGTTTGATATATCACAGGCATCACCAGTTTTATTCTTAATTATTGGCACAACAATTGTATAGATAAGGTTACAAGGCAAGTTTGAATGACTAACACATAATGTTCAGTATATTAAATAACAAGGAGTGTACCGTTAGTAAATGAACATATTTCAGGTGGTCGATGCTTAGGCTTTCATGTCCAGGAGACTTCCCCCTTGCTATTTTTTAAAAACAGATGCAACTTCTTTTGATAAAAATCTTATGGTCGCCACAAACGGTCAGTTAAAGTCATCAGTTGAATTGATACCAGTTCAAACGGATTTAAACCAAAGAAAGTTTCTCACACATGGTCAGTTCAACTGATCAGTTCAAACTGGGACTGTTGATATTTTTTAAATTATCGTATTTTCAATATATCGATAATTAAAAATATATCAATATCGGTGTTATATATATCATAAGTTAATATGCAGTAAGCTTTGAGTATTAAACCAAAGGAGGCGGCATGGCAAGGCACACCCCTCTGTAAAAGGTACGAGAGTCCGACTATGCCCCTTAAATAAAACTAGTTGCTCCACGTCGTGCGCCATTTGCGCCCTCCTTTCATTGCGCCCTCCTTTCCCCCAAGGAGGGTCGCGTCCGCTTACGGTTTAAAGATCTCTCACTTAATCATTAAGCCAATCCTAAAAGGTGGTGTTTAGTGGGTAAAAGTCTCCACATAACCACGCAGCCGGCTGCGCCATATGCTATGAGCATTCACCACCTCCCTCCCCCGTTACCGGAGGGTTGTTTATTTGCTTCGGGAGCAAAAAAAAGTCGTGCCCATCCCGAAGTGATCGTGCCAGTAAATCGAGCTCCGACAAAATGCCGAATTGCAGTGTATTTACATGCAAAAAACAATCAAAAATTTCAAATCTACAAAAGGACAACGTGACTTTTCATCTGTGAGTATTTTTTACATAATATTCAAGTAATATTATCATTAAAACTCGTACTTTCTGAATATTTTCGTCAAATACCAAGTGTGGCCATCATAAATCATAAGTGAAAAATAATTTTTTTTTTAAATAAATATAATTTACTATCCTCTGTGCCGAATCGATTGAGAAAAACGGACAATGACCTCAGATATAAGCCGAGTGTCAAAAGGCGTAACTTACAAAATCTCAATTTAGATGTGATAACAATATTTAAATATTAATATTATTCACACTTCTCCTTCTTGTTTTTTATTTTTTAAATAATATTGTCTGTGGTTCCTATAAACATCGTAAAATCTTACGGTACATCGCAAAAAATGTGTTATATTTTATATTTCTAAAATGTGTTATATTCTTATTTTAAGAGGTCGTGTTTGATAAAGTACAATTCTTAAACTATTTAATTTACATAATATTAAATACAGGTAGGTCTAAATGAGATTTGAGACATGATTTGTCGATGAAATTGATTATATTTTATAGCATTAAAAGCTCCGACACCGGTAACCGGACATATATATATATATATACATATAAGTGTGTCCGGTTACCGACCGACGGCCACACATCATCTGACATCTGATAAATAAAGAAAACAAACAGGTCCTAGAAAAGATGGGAATTGAAATAATAATAGAAACAAACAATAAGCCACCTCTATTTGTCCGATTAATTAAACTACTTTTGTCCGGTGCACTCAGAAGAGCTTTTATGCATGTGCTACACTTATTATTCACTTCCCAGTGAGAAGTTCTTGTAATGGGCCTGATTTTGCATATTGGACATTTTAACATATTTCCACGTTTCAAGGTCTTTAGAGTCGGATAGTATGGTTTTTAAGAGGATGTCCGTGTGTGCACATGTACGTACGTATCTATGTATGTTCGGATTCAATTTTCGCCTCGTGTACATCGAGAACAAAGAGTGATATTGACATGGGACCAGTTTCATTTAACGCATAATTATGTAAGTTAGACCTCATAAAATTTTGAGCGAAATCGGTAAAGTCGTTTTTTGTTCCGAATTAAAAATTTTATAAAATATTAAAACATATGATATTTTTTACTCTTTCCACTGGGAAATTAGTCGTGTGGACCTTTCGGGTCGCACCTAGACCGCTTTTTTATTATAGTAAAATAGCAAAGCCCGCTATACAACACGTAACAAAAACCCTGTGATTCCCGTTAACTGCGTTATCAGAATCAGTGTCCAAGCGTATAGAAATAACTTCTTTTTTCTTTTCAAAAAAAAAAATTCTATACGCTTGGATACTGATTCTGACAACGCACTTAATGGGAACCACAGGGTTTTTGTTAAATGTTGTATATTCGACCACTTTTTCGCCAAAAGTGAAAAATAGGAGTAAATCTTTATGTCTGCTACCATATTTTCTTCAGTTTTTCCATAGCATAGCAGTTATGATTTTGACTTTTTGTTTAGAATTTGTGGTTTATCAAATCTAATGTAATGGTGGGGACGATCTTGGAGATGTTCGCAGACTGTAGACTTCCCGGAGCGTCGGTGCTTCACGTCAGCTATATGTTTTTTCACGCGGGTTATGGATCTTTTTGTTTGACCTATGTAAGAGAGACCACATTCACAATCTAACTTGTACACTCCTGCATCTTGTAGAGGGATATTACACTTGACGGATGGTAAAAATTGACTAATCTTCTTCGGCGGCTTGTAGTATGTTTTAATGGAAGCTCGCTTCAAGATGTAGCCAACCTAGTCTGTGACTCCTCTGACATATGGTAGTACAGCAGGTACACGCTCGACTGTGGCCGGCTTCACTCGGTCACTGTGACGTAGGCGCGGGACCCGAAGCTTGTTGTCTTGCAATACTTGCTTGACGTGCTGAAGTTCGGCGGCCTGATGTTTTCTGTCACAGATCCGTCGTGCTCTCTGAAACAAAGATTACCCACGGTAGCTAACTGTGAAGGATGATGGTGAGATTCACCATTTAAATATCGGTTGGTATGGGTCTTTTTCCTATACACAGTGTGACCAATTGTGTTATTAGGATTTCGAATGACTAAAACATCTAAGAAAGCGATAAAATCAAAGCAGTTTATGCCTCTTTCAGTTCAGATCAATTTGATGTGTATTATTTTTTATAAATAACTTCATATTGACGTGCAAAGGGATTATCATAATTACCACCATGACTTCCGATGTTTAAAAATAAAATTTCTATATGGTCTTGACTAATTTTGTGTAGTGATAAATAAGTAAGTGAAGCTATGGAGTGTAGACGTAAGCAGTAGCAACTCCCATGGGAGAATAGTTGAAAAAGTGTCGATCTGTAAGCAGTAAATAACAGTTCAAAAACTCTCCACTACAGCGCTCGAGTACGCTACGAGTATGAGTGTGTTATGTTATGTTAAATCGCCGTAAAATACGTTGAGAGTGATTTCGAAAATAAAAATTTTGAAAGCAATAAAATAATTATTGTAAAAAGAATTATGGTGAAAGTCTGTGCAATAAAAAATTATAAAAAGTTTTTTAAAATTTAGACTGTAGCTACAGTGGCACCACCCTTATTTAACGCTTTCCTACGGACACTTTTTTATACAGAGTCTGTACTCCTTACTCTACACTCCATAAAGTGAAGTATTTGGGCCTAATACCAGATTGCCAAATGTGCGTTTAGCACTTTCAATGCACACAAGAAAACCTGAAAATCCTATGTACCGACGACTTTAAAAATCATCTGTATATGTTATTACGAAAAATGACATTGATTTCTACGTTTAATAGAACATTTTTAGTCTCATCCAACTAAATAAATTAAACTTTTTTTTATTTAGCTGTAGTTTTAAATAGGTACCTAGGTATCAAATAGGTTATTTCATTCTATTAGACGTTGAGTTTAGGTACCTACTTATATATTTTTAAGAATTTAATTTTGGATTTAAGGATTTATTTAGGATCCGTTTTATTGTTTAAGTAGGCATTTAGATTTTTAAAGTGTATGGTAGCTATAGTTAGGACCTCTAACGTAGATTATTAGGTAGTTAGATATGTTAGGTAACTGAATGCCGTCGATTAAAAATAAAATACACAAAGCCACCTAAAAACGATTATCTTTATCTCGAAATTCGAGAGAAGTTATGAGAATTTTATTAAGAGAGATAATAGTATAGTTGTAGCACGAATGGGTCGGCTCGACCGGGGAAGGACCACGCTCTCACAGAATACCAGCGTGAAATAGTAACTTAATGCTGCTGTATTTCGTATGGTGAGTGTAGAGAACCGGAGACCCTTTTTTACTGGAAACGAGGAACTCCATCTTAGTCTTCAGGGGTAACAACGAATCTGCATTTTGATTTTTAATGGAGGATAGATGTAGATGTCTATGGGCCGCAGCAACCACTTACCATCAGGTGGACTGTGTGCTCGTTTGTCACCCTATTCTATAAAAAAAAGAATGAGAAATGTGCGTTCTCAAGAATCGGCAGAGGAAAGAGCACATCGGTTAAACTCTATGAGAGTTAGTGCCTCAACTTCTCGAGCCAATGAAAGCTCTCCAGAAAGAGAGATGCGACTAGCAGCTGACAGAGTGAGACAAGCTACATCACGGGCGTCTCAAAGTTCTTCTCAACGAGAGCTAAGGCTTACCATTGACCGAGAACAACATGTGTTATCCCGAGAAGCTGAAACTGCTTCACAGCGAGAATTGCGGATCACAGCTGACCGCGAACGGCATACATTATCTCGCGAGTCCGAAACCTACACTGAACGGGAATTACGTCTCACAGCTGACCGCGAACGGCATACATTATCTCGCGAGTCCGAAACCTACACTGAGAGGGAATTAAGTACGTCTCATAGCTGATCGCGAACGGCACGTACTATTCCGTGAGTCCGAAACCTTCACTGAGAGGGAATTACGCCTCACAGCTGATCGCGAACGACATGTACTATCCCGTGAGTCCGAAACCTACACTGAGAGGGAATTACGTCTCACAGCTGACCGCGAACGTCATATCTTATCACGGGAATCTGAAACTTTTACTCAATATGAAGACCATTTGACAAATGATAGGGTGCACCATAATATTATTCGATCTCTTGAAGATGAACATGAGCATGAACAACGACTAGAGTCGGGACGCGAATATTACAATTCTTTGAGACAAATACGATTAATAAGTTTGTCTGATGAATGATTAAGAATTGAAAATATTCGGTCTCTTGAAACGGATGAAAAGCGAGAGGCCCCTCTTACTGCAGACAGATTTCGACATAGTCTTAATGACTTAGATGTACACATCTACTAATTCGGTGGTGTGGTCCGACAAATATAAAAGTGGGTTTCTTTATAACCTCACAATTGATTACAGATCATCTTCTGTAATAGGCGATATGAACGTAGTATGTTTTTTTTAATGCTTCAAAGTGGAGTAAGGAGTCGGCTGGTTTCTGTCGTTCTGGAGGTAAAATAAATTTGCCTTCGTTCGAATATCCACCGGAACCTTTGAAGTCATTACTTTTAGGGGAACATGTGCAATCTAAACAGTTGTTAGACAATATTCGCACTTATAATAACAGTGCGTTTCAAATGACATCCTTTGGTGCTCAACAAATCTCAGAAGGTCCTTTCATGCCTACTTTTAAGATACAAGGTCAGGTTTACCATTTGATAGGATCCCTTTTGCCTGAAGACCAACCTAAGTTTCTTCAAATATATTTTGTATCCGACTACAACGAACAGTCGAATATAAGAAATCAATATTTCCCGAATTTAAATACTGAACTTATTTCACAACTTCAGAACATGTTGCATTAGGTTAATTCGTATGTATGCAGTTTTAAATCGGCTCAAGATGGTGATAACAATTATAAAATTGTTATAAATGCCGATAGGCGTCCAACTCAGGAAAACCCTGGACGTTATAACGTTCCATCCACGAATGAAGTTGCTGTAGTATTGGTCGACCAGGAATGTCGTAGGCGTGATATCGTTATCCGTTCCATAGACAATCGTTTGCAACGTATTTACGAAACCCACAGGGCTTAAGACAGTTTGCAATATCCTTTGATGTACTCTCGAGGGGAAGATAGTTATAAAATTGAAACCGAAAGATTAGTTTATATACGATCTAATCAAAGGCAGCTGCGCGCTGAAGAATACGTGCACCTTCGCGACGCCATGCAGCAAGATAATGATACGGTGAATATGGGCCGTTTAGTTATTTTACCCTCTTCTTTTACTGGTGGTCCACGCTACATGCACGAACGTACTCAAGATGCTTTTTGTTAAGTAAGAAAATATGGACGTCCCGACTTATTTATTACTGTAACTACCAATCCCAAATGGGATGAAATCACTCGGGAGCTTATTGAGGGTCAAGCACTGCATGACCGCCTTAATATTATCGCGAGTTTTTCATTTAAAATTAAAATCAATGATAGATCTACTTACAAAAGATAACATTTTTGGAGATGTATTGTGTTATATGTATAGTGTTGAGTGGCAAAAACGCGGCTTATTTCACGCACGTATCCTGCTTTGGTTAAAAGATAAGGTTCGACCTAATGATGTAGACCGTTAAATCAGTGCTGAAATTCCAGATCCGATTGCAGATCCCGTGTTATACGACATTGTTAAAACTCATATGATACATGGTCCATGTGGTGCATTTACCGAGAATGGTCCTTGCATGTAAGAAGGTCGTTGCACTATAAGATATCCAAAAGTATTAGTGGATGAAACTGTAACAGGACATGATGGATACCCATTATATCGTCGCTCCTTCTCACGAAATTTGTTTAAAAATTGGCATTCCGATTATTCTGCTCCGAAATTTAAGACCACCACAACTTTGCAATGGAACTCGACTAAAGGTAACCCAGTTGCAACAAAATATAATCGAGGCTCAAATTTTAACAGGTTGCGGTGCAGGAGAAACAGTATTTATTCCCAGAATTCCCATAATAACAAATAATTTTCCATTCCAATTTAAAAGAACGCGATTCCCAGTATCAGTGTATTATGCAATGACAATTAATAATTAAGGGCAGACTTTTCGTGTTGCTTGAGTAGATCTCGGTGTCAGCTGTTTCTCGCATGGTCAGTTGTATGTCGCTCTTTCCCGGGTTAGCACTTGTTCACGTGCCGGACGGGTCAACTTTCAACATAGTTTACCCGGAAGCTTTGCACTGAAGTATTTTTGTTCTATAAGTACTTAAGCCTCATGTGAACGTGATCTAAACAATATTACCAATATATTAACTTAATAACACACAAGGAGTTACACTCCATCCAAAGCCCAGCGACACTATAACATATATAGGAATGACGTCTTAGCAAAAGTTGTTTAGTCTGATGGGCATTTCTTGTTGACTTACAAAAATGAAAGATCTAGAACGTCCCGAATCGTCTCGCGAATCACGTTGTTTTCCCGTCCCAGGGCTCTTAGAATTCAACATCAGACGTTTCAGATCTTCGATTTTGACGACCCCGTTGTCGTTGGCATAAGCAACAGGATCCGCGTACGAAGTCGCGGGCAGAAGCTAGTACCCATTAATAAAAATGCTAAAGCATCAGTAGCGTTCTCCAAGAAAAATGGATGGTTGACGAATGTATTGCGATAGAAGTTTTTTTTTAGCTATACGTACATTCGCCGATTGGTTCCAATATAGGCATTTAACGAACCTTACGTCCTCAGAGTCGAGTCCGATGGATTGTAATATATCAATCATTCTTGCATGCTGTACTCTATCAAATGCAATACATATCTTGATTTATGTCCCAGCATCTCTGTATTAAAACTTGATACCCGAAAAGTGCATCTCTCGTTCCCAGGCCATTGATGAACCCAAACTGTGTTCTTGAAATGAGGTCTTCACATTTGCTATAAATTCTTTTATGAATTACTTTAAGGAATAATTTTAGGATATGACTCATTAAGGAGATTGTTCTATATTTGCTGCATTTCTTCGCAGAAGCAACTTTGGGCAAGGTGACAAAGGTGGATTTGAGCCAATCCGATGGTATGACGCCCGAATCATATATAGTGTTAAATAACTTTACTATTATTCCTAAGTTAGCATACTCAAGTAATTTAAACAGTTCCACGGGTAATTCATCTCTGCTTACAGATTTTCCTGATTTGGACATGTTAATGGCATAAGTAATTTCGCTTTTATTATTAGGTGGTCTAGTCAATTCACTTCCACATGAACTTGGTTCCAGAGCAGGTCTAACGTCATGGAATAGTGTTGTTATGTATTTCTGCCAAATATTAAGTTTATCTTCAATTGTTTTGGCAGGATTTCCCTGATCATCCAGTAATACGTTACAGTTCATGTTTCGTGTGTTAACAGTACCGGTTATTTCTCTGATTTTCTTATGCACATTAAAAGAATCATATCTGGCCTCAAACTCTTCTATCGCAATACATTCGTCAACCATCCATTTTTCTTCCGCTTCAACTACTTTTCTTTGGATTATCTTGTGTACGGTATTGTATTGTTGATCGTCTACTCCTTTGTATGTTCTACGCTGTTCCATTAGGTTTAGGATCTCCTGCGTGATCCAGCGGTTTTTTGTTTCATAGTTTAATGGTCGGAGGATTCTTTTACAATATCAACAAGATTTTCCTTTAATTTAGTCCATGTCTCTACTACGTCAACATTTGGACCAAGCTCTTTATTCAAGCGGTCAACAGCCATATTTATTTCTGTGGCAGCCTTAAGCCGTATTTCCGGTTCTTTAAGTCTAGTCACATCCATTTGTTGTTTTTTTTTATTTAGGTTTTAGAATTTTCATACTACAGCGAAGGGATGCAATAACCGGATTGTGATCAGAACCAATATCGGCACCTGGGTAGGTTTTGATTGACGTTAAACTGTTGCGATATCTTCTGTTTATAAGTATGAAATCTATTTGATTACGGACGATCTTCTTGGGCGAATGTAATGGTGACGTCCACGTATACAATCTTCTTGGAGGTTGCTTAAAGTGGGTGTTGGAAATTAAAAGTCCGTGTTCTTCGCAGAATTGTAAAAGGCGGTCACCGGATCGTTTTTTTTTTCCAATCCGAATGTACCAACGATGTCCGAGACTTTTCCCTCCCCAATTTTTGCATTAAAATCACCTTGGACGAGGATAATGTTATGTGGATTAAGATGTTTAAGGGCAGTTTCTACTTATTCATAAAAGAGTTCATTATCCTCGTCAGTAGCATCGGTAGTAGGCGCATACACCTGGACTATCTGAATATTTCTGGGTTTTGCTTTTAACTCTAAAACTAAAACTCTGTCCGATATTGGTAGGAAACTGTGGACCTGATGATGTAAATATCTGCTGATTATAACGGCCACACCGTTGTAGTGATTTTTATCATTATTACCGCTATAATACACTACTTTGTCATCCCGTACCAAGACTCCAGTTCTCTGGCGCCTAGACTCACTCACTCCAAGGATATTTATCTTAAGTCTTAGCATTTCCTGTTCTAAATTCACCATTTTATAGGTGCGGTACATACTCTTGATATTCCACGTAGCAGTCGTCATGGCTGACCCGGAGATTCTTCGCACCATCTGACCATCTAAGGTCTGCCGGGGACTTAGGGCCATTTTTATATTGTTCTGAACCATAATGATCTTCCTGGGGTGGTATATGTGGTGGTTTCCCGTTGCCTTCCACATGCTGTACTATTGCCGAACCGATGCACACCATCTCCGTTAATAGCTTCCTTTTCCAGAACAATTCCAGCCAACTAGACGTCTTCTTCTGAAAATACTGTTACGCAGCTGCCCATAACAAAGGAGTGCTTATTTACTGGCGGCACGAAACGCCAGGTCACAAGGAAGCTATTCTTTCCT